CCATGAGTGATACAAAAAAACTTTAAGGATGCAATCTGATAGTTTCACAAACGTCAGGGACGTTTTGTGATAAAAAGCCTTTACTTTATAAAACCTTCTCGGTTCGTTTGCATTTTGTGAATTCTCCAAGTTGCCTACTAGGCTACTAGCCATCTAGAATACAGTTGTCATGTTTCAGAAATTGTTCTTCCCTTTAATTGTTGATTTATGTCAGACAACAGCAACAAATGAAACTATGAAATAGCTTTTCCACAAGTAGATTAGATCTTTCCTCGGGTTTAAAAACGGTTCTCAGGCATCTCTAATCGGAAATGTACTTTAACTACTTTGCCATAAGCATGGCAGCTAGTTCAAGTGTGATTGACGAAGGAACTAAAATTTGCGTCCAAGAACTGCTCATGAGCTGCAGGTTGGTGATGATATTGTAGACAAGTTCAGGCTTCTAATTCAGACCATCCATGCGGTTCACCCTCCTGGTGTTTTGGGGCCATTATATAGGATTTGCTAATCATCTTTCGCATCACATTTTCCATTTTCTTGAAGAAAAAAACAATACAAAATTACAAACCCAATAAACCATCATCACCAAGATTTGGTAATTACAATTACAAGTAAAAAATTAAAACAACAGCATAAGAAAACCATGCCAACAAGACTTAAGGAACAAAACAAGAAGAAAAAAACTTGGGCACCATCACCACATCAAGGAACAAGTTTGTAAGATTTCATCTTATCAATCCAAGTTACAAAAGATGTCTTTGAATTCCTGAACCCCACAAAGCCATGCTCTTTGCTCTTGTTCATAGTGTCCACAGTTGAATCAAGCCCAAACATAGCATCCGCAAGCCACCAATTCCCAACATCTTCCAATTTTGTAGGCACCAGACCATTCTCTCTCACAATCTCATCCCACACTGGCCCCTTGTCTTTCATCATCTCCCCCATGCTCGGCCTCGATCCGCCCTCATCATCATCATCGAAGTCCTCAAACTCCATGTCAAACTGCTCTGCCAAAACCCTCCACAAGTGCTTCCACTTATACAAATCCCCATTGCTGCAATTGAAAGCCTCATTCTTGGCATAAGGATCAACTGCTGCCCATATCTCATGCTCAGCAATCAGATCAGCATCTGAGGCATCCCAGTACCCGTTCCAAAATCCTTTGCTCCCAGGATACTTCAGTTTCTTCTTCCCCTCGTGCTTACAAATCGCGGCGTAAACGCAAAAAGTCCCCACTATGTTCATCAAGCTATATGGCGAAAACCCGAAAATCACACTAGGCCTGTGCACTGACCATGTCAACCCCTCCTTCTTCTTCACTTCCTCAAACAAAATGTCCTCCAATGTATAGTAAAAGCAGGGCACGTTGAGCCTTGGGAGGTCCCCATCAAACGGAGGCTCATGAGGCTCAACTTTTCCCCACTTTTCAAATGGACCAATATAATGTTTGCGACCAGTTTGCAAGCATATGTGCTGCAAATTTGGTGCATTTGGGATCACAGCATCCAACAAGTTTCGAAACATGTTGCCATTGGCCTCGCAGCTTTCTACTTCCGTGGGCTTGCTGGCCCAAGTGACGTAAAAGATGTGTGTGACATCGGTCAGTTGGGAGAGTTCGGAATGTGTTTGATGAGGGTCTGAGAGATCACATCGGATGTATTCGACGGGATGATCAACGTTCCAATCCGGGCGGGGCCTGCGGGCCACCCCGTAAACCTTCCAGGGCCCACCCGGGGTGTCAGGGAGCGGCAGGATCTCGGCAAGGCTGTTGCCGACAATCCCCGTGATCCCGGCGACCAATGCCACGCTCTCGTACTTGGTTGGTGCATTGTTGGGATCAAACTTTTTCTGGTTGGTGATTATTTTGGGGGAAAATGTTAGCATATGATCATGGATGAATTGAAGGAAAAAATTGATTGGTTTGTGGAGAAAGTTGTTACCTTTGCAGCTCCTACGGCTCCTGACCACCACCAGCTCATTGTTGTCCCGTCTTGGTTGCGCCCAAATTGACTAAAAGTCTCAAATTGCTTCCAGTGTCTTCTACACTACTAGTTTCTGAGTTCAGTATGCGGTTGGTCTCGCTCTTATATACGGGAGATGGGAAAATATTTTCCTTCAATGTGTGGCTAGTGATCATCCACGTTTACTGCAATTAATGTCTGGTTTGGATTTTGGTTTTGGTGTCATGGCTTACCTCACCCTTCAATGTGATTTGTCGGTCATGAGTCTGAGTCACAGTTGTAAAATGACATTTGGATAAACTCCTTCAAGAAACCTTTTGGTTTTTGGTTGCATCTTTAGTACAAATTCGTACATAATGGAGTTCCATTCGTGACTAATCCATACACTAATAGAGAATAGTGAAAGCATGACTTCGGATGCAGAACTAATTGTTTAACTACTTGAACAACAAATCTCTTACAACAATTGCATAATTAAATAGCTTACTCAATAAAAATAGAGATTTCCCTGATTTTACATTTAGGAAGCATGTGGCATTCTAACACATTTTACATGAATTTGCATCCCACACAGATAGATAGAAAACAGACAAAGTGATTGGATATATTTTTGTTCAGGATGGTATTGGTTATCATATTGAACATGAATTCTACTCTTATCATAATTCACTAGAAGAGTGGGGCACGTTGGCTTCATCAATCTTGCGTGTATATTTTCTTCTTGGTTACCAGAAGTTCTTCCCTGTCTTTTTCTTGTTCATCTGCCACCATTAATAATGGGCCAGATTGCATGCAATAATGCAAAGAGCAACCACACCTATTTCTTTTTTCTTCATCAATCTTGCGTGTACATTTTCTTCTTGGTTACCAAAAGTCCTTCCCTGTCTTTTTCTTTTTCATTTTCTCACCATTAATAATGTGCCAGATTGCATGCAACCATCCAAAGAGCAACCACATCTATTTCTACTTGCAAGAAACGATAAAGGGCATGATAGTAATATACCTCTCACAACATCATCAACCCATCTTACTCATCCTGACCAAGCAACCAAAACTTTATATCAATTAATATACAGATAAGAAAGCATAAGGAAGAACCAGAAATGGATATATTACACCATTTAACTATAACCTTCGATGAAACTCCAAAATCAGAAATGGAAATGCTCAACTATTAATCATACAATGGTCATGCCATGATTTGTTACAAGCTTGCGGCGATGAGATTTTCACAATTATTACCATCAAAATAAAGACATTGGCAATCTGTGGTTGTTGAAGAGTTAATCTGTGGTTGCTGAAGAGTTATTTGTGCATACCTTGAAGTTACTCAGCATCCCACTACTTTTCATCTCAGCTGATCTATACAATATTTTCCGCAGACCATATATATTGAGTTGAACAAACGTATAATCCCTCAGATACAAAATATTCACAATATCCTGCAGCTAGCCTTCCGGAGAAACAACAAAATCATGTACAACAACAACATTACATTCTTCTCGTCTCCATTCCTAAACAAAATACTTGTAACATGAGCATAGAAAGAGGTAATGAAGAACTTGATGCATTAAAGTGTTTTGAGGCTAATAATAAGCCAATCGAGCTGCAACCCCATTCATAGAGGAAAAACTAACTATGACCATTTATTTTTAATACGGTCTAATAATCTGGATTCCTCCCCATCGGAAATATGTGGATCAAGATTGCGAAGGTTATTGACAAACTTAACTCCATCATCCCGTCGATTATGTTTACAGTACCAATCTACAATGGAGTTGTATGTGTTCTTGTTTGGCTTACAGCCATTCTTAATCATGTAGCGGACCACATCAATAGCTTCCACAAACAAAGAATCAGCTGCATAACTTGCCACAAAGGTGTTATAAGTGATTACATCTGGAGCAATCCCAGCATCCCTCATTTCTGAGAATACCCGTGAAGCCTCTCTCATACGACCATTTCTACAATAGCCAAAAATGACAGTGTTGTATGAAATTATATCAGGCTTTATTCCCTTCTCCATAATCTCCCTTAGAAACTTTTCTGATTTCTCAAAATCCTCTGAGCGACTGTGCATATACATCAAACTATTGTAAGTTGTCAAGCTAGGAGTATACCCCATCTCATTCATAAATTTCAAAATCTCACTTGTCTTCATAAACATCTGCCTCCGGCCATATATTGATAGCATCGCATTCAGGGTAGTTATGTCAGGTGAAAATCCTTTTCTTCTCAGCTCCAAGAAGGCATGTTCTGTTTCCATCAAAAGGTCACTTTTACTAAAAACTAGAACAAGTGTCTTTAAGAGCACAACATGGGGTTCAATCACACCAGAGTATATTTCTTCAGCAAGAACATGCATGCGCTCCATTTCTTTGCCATTGGCATAAGCATGGAGCAGAGAACTATATGTAAGCTCATTGGGTTTGCACTGACTATTCTGCATTTCAGCCAGTATTTTCTCAGACTGTTGCCAAAGCCCACCTCGAGCCAGTGCTGCCAAAACAGCATTATATGTAGAAAGATCTGGAGTAACACCAGCTTCTAGCATTCTCTTATACACAGCCATGGCTTGATCAAAAGAACCGCACCGGCTGTATGAACTGATTAGAGTGTTGAAAGTATCCCTCTCAGGTACAAACCCTGCCCTCTTCATCTCCCTGAACACTCCTGACACTTCTGAGTCCATCCCATTTTGGCCAAACACTGCCAAAAGTGTGTTCCACGTGACAATATCGGGGGTGCACTTACATATCTTGATCTCTTCAAAAACTTTCATCATTTCTGCAAAATTTCCCCTGTTGCCATGCATCTTAATCAGGGCATTGAAGGTACAGATGTTTGGTTTACAACCAGAACTTTTCATCTCATCAAAAACCCTCATTGCAGGCTCATCCTTCCCAGCCTTCTCAAATCCTGAAAAAAGGGTGGTGTAGGTAAAAACATCGGGTTTAATCCCTTTCTCCACCATCTGGGTTTTCAAGGCTATTGCCTCCTCCAATAAACCATCTCTTGCATAAGCTGATATCAGTGAATTGTAAGACACAATGCTTGGAGAAAACCCATTAAACTCCATGTCCTTCAATACCTCCATTGCTTCCTTAGTCCGCCTAGACTTTCCATACACATCCAACAACGCATTATACGTAACCTTATCGGGTACAAACC